GATAAATAAGCTTACCAGTGGATTAAAATTTACTGCTCAGCGAAAGGTACTGTCCAGAGAATGTAAAGCTGTGCTACAGATGGGGAAAAACATTGCAAAAGTCTCACCTGGTAAAGGACCATTGTCTGAAATACACAAAGAACTATAATGAACAGTAAGAATACAGTCTGTTTGGAAACGGCCAGAAGACCTTAGCAGACACAGAGAAATGGACAGTGAGTGCTCCACATCCATATATCACCAGGCAAATGCACAGTGAACCCACATGGGCTCCACCACATACCGCTTAACATCGCCAAGACCTGGAGCCCTGACACCAAACTGCGGCAGAAGGTTTGGAACAACAGGAACTCTCATTCATTAATGGTGGGGAATTAAATGGTCAAACATTCTGGAAATAGCTGGGCGGTTTCTTAGAAAACTAAGCATACTCAGATTGTACAATCCTGTGCCGTAATCCTTGATTTTACCCGGAGAAGTTGAACATAACGTCTATACAGAATCCTACACACAGATGTTTATAGTGGCTTTGTTCATAATTGTCAAAACTTAGAAACCAACCAAGATGTCACTCAGTGATGACTGGACAAACTGTGGTGTACCCAGATGAAAAAATATTATTTTGTGCTGAAAAGAATTGAGCTGTCAACACATGAAAAAACATGGAGGAAACTAAATGCTTATTACTAAGGACGCCATTCTGAAAAGCTGCACACTACATGAGTGGAATCAAAATTAATCATTGTCAGGGGTTGGGCAGAAATGGAAGGATGAATATAATGAGCACAGAGGAATTTACAGCAGTGAAATGATTCTGTGTGCTGCTGTGATAGTAGATGCGTGTCATTATGAATTTGTCCAAACTCACAGGATGTCCCAAAGAGTGAACCCTAATGTGGAATATACTAGGTGATAATGATGTGTCGGTGGAGGTTAGTCACTTGTGACAAATGTACCACCACTCTGGGGGTGTTCATAATGGAACGAGCTCTAAGTAGGGCCAGCGGGAATATGAGCCCTATCTGTATCTTATTCAGTTTTGATGTGAACCTAAAGCCACTCTGAAAAATAAATTCTTTAAAATAAAAATACTGGGTTTATTCCCCTTATCCCTCAGGAGAAAAAATGAGAACCAAGACCTGTCATGTAAACGTACAAGATCCCAATAATGAATATAACTGTTCTCTATACATTTCTCTATCAAAAAGGAACAAAAAAAAAAAAAAAAAAAAAAAAAAAAAAAAACTCCACTATAAATACAGAATATGAATTTGTATGTAATTTCACTATGTGAATCTGCTGGTGTGTGGATTTTGCATAAGCAGATGGAAAGGGAAATATCTGAAAATGGATGTTTGGAGGAACCGAAAATCTATGGGCTGCTAGCCCAGTTCTATTTTCTGTTACGAAATACCCTCCAAATAGGGACATAAACCCATAGAAGCTCAGTTTGTAAAAGATAAAAATGTAGATTCTAATGGAAAAAACAAGCTTACAAAGTAAAATATCTAATCATATTTTAATATGAAATCAATTTTTTCACCTGGACAAGAAGGAATCAGGGCATCATTCACAGGAGCCCTTCTAATGAGCCTGTTTTTTACTTCTAATAGTTTAAGTCTCCTTGTTCTAGAATGCTATTCCATTAAATTCCATGATTTTCTATTTAAAAAAAAAAAAAACTGGGTTTATAACCATTACCAATTCTACTCCCACCTCCACTTCTAGCACTTATACTCTTTTCCTGCTCTTTTTCTCCTTAGGACTTGGTACTCACCACCTTTTATTACACACATTTTATTTTAAGGTATATAGGTGTTAATACTACTGTGTGTTATTTATTTTTGCAGTAAATTTGTGGCTAATTTCGGACAGGAGAATGGAATTGGAAAGGTAGATATTTGAAGCAGTCTTTACTCCTTTACCTTGTATACATCTGTCTAGTATTTGAGTGTGAATAATGACTTGACTGAATGTTTTTGAATCATAAATATCTGAAAACCAGGCATAATGAAATTTTACAGTATTCATACTACTCTTGTTGATATTATTAAGTATGTTGGCAGTGTACCTTGGCAATGCCTATATATAAGGTTCAACACTGTTTTATGTTTCGTCCAAGATTAGCTTTAGGTCAGGTCACTCGCTTTTGTGTGTGTGTGTGTGTGTGTGTGGTACCAGATATCAAACACAAGACCTGGCACCGTGCCACTAAGCTAAATCCCCAGCCCTAGGTCACTCGCTTTCCATTCCTCCTGTGTCCTGTGCGTTCAGTTTGAATATAGCACACTAGAATGAGATTCCAAGACCCTTGACATGTAAGTTACTGGAAATACCTATAGAAGTTGGAAAGAGTCTCAAAAGACACTTGTTTTTTATTCCTCTGGTGGCATTAGATAAATCACCTTTGGAAATGGATGTTCATGTGTCAGTCAAGTGTGCCTTGATTTCACCAAAAAGCAACGTCTCTGAGCCAGTGCTAAACCAGACTCCCTTTGCCCCTGAAACGGAGAATTTGACTGTTGGCTGTTGTCTGTCTGTTCTGGTCCTGCCCGGTGCAGGGGAGAAATCAGTAAAGATGGTCTTATTCACAGTTTACGTGCAGTTTAGATGCAGAAGTTTCAGAAGAGAGACACTGTATTAGACAAATCTAACTGTTTAAACACCACTTAGGTCCACACTGTGCTTTCTCTCATATTTATTGTGACTTCTAGTAAATCTTAGTGATAGGAAAGAAGCAGCTTTTATTTTAGTATACAGAGAATATGTTTGTTTACTATACTCAAATATAAAATCGACAAATGAATTTGAACAGTTGTTCTTTTTCTGAAATGTGTTTTCCTTGTCTTTCACTTGATCAAGTTTTTAAGTACTACTTTAAAGTGATCATAATTAGATGACAGATTTTGTTTTTCTTTAAAACTTTAACCCATTCGTTAGTGATTTGTTGTCTACATTTGTTAAATGAAGGAAAGCCTGGTATGTTATAAAAGTCACCACTTGACATGACTTTTTTAAGTCCTTTAAAGTGTTCAAAAGAAATCTAATATCTCTACTTGTCTATAAATTACATTTTATGTCTAACTCCAGAATTTGGTTATTACATGTAGTTACTATATTGTATGTACAAGTTATGTAAGTTGCTATGTGTGGCTTAGGCTAGATATATCAGTATTTTTCAGTTAAAATATTTCACATTTTCTCAATATTGAGATGTCATTAAATTGTAATATTTGTTTTTTAAAATAGTTTTATCATTGGTAGATTAGCCTTTAAAAAGTAGCACTTCTCACTGTAACATTTTATCTTTTAATAAATAAATTTATGTCAGCAAAACATGCTAAAGCCAGTGCTGTAAAAATAAGATTAGAGCTTTCTCCCAACAAATTCAGTAAGTTTTGGATGGATGCCTTCATGTATTTAAAAGATTTCCCAGAGGTAGAAGGGTAGAATATTTAGCACAGAATGAACAGTGTTGAACTCAATTTTCTGAAGTGTTTTATCTAAATGGTGCATGTCCAGGGTGACTAGAGCCTCTTTATTTTGAAAATTCATTCAGGGATCTGGTAGGTATTAGTTCAAGAAAAATAAAAAAAAACATGAACTGAAGTGAGCCTATCTAAATCATAAACAGAATTGAAGCATAGTTGTTTTTTAGGCTTAATGGATGACAAAATACTGAATTGTGGAGAAACTGCTCTTGGTTCTTATTATTTAATCACATTTTACTAATTGATTGATTGTATTCCTTGCTTTTTAAAAACAAGACCAAAATTCAAAAAAATTAAAATAATTTCTTTTGGAATGTGTAATCTAATTCACAACAGTAAGAATTTTATATAATCTTTAATAAATACTTCAGTAAGTATTTGAAGACTACTATGCATCACACCCTACACTAGCTGCTGTGTGTAAATTTGTCTGTATTTTCTTAAAAGCTGAAATTTATTTGTTTAATTCTGTATGAACTTCATTTGAAATATGGACAGCATTTTCTTGTAAGGTTATTGAGCTGAGCCACAACAGGTACCTAGCACTGAAGTACAAGCTTCAGAATACACATACTGTGTCAGTACTTCTTTTGAAAATTTTAGAAAATAATAATATTAATTAGAATTTAGTGTCTGCTTATCTGGAATATCTACCGTTTATCTATGTAATAGCAAAGATTTTATTCCATATCTGTTGATGGAAAAAATTAAAAACAACTTTAAAAAGCTTGTTATATTCTGTGCCCCTAGACTTCTACTCAGTAAATACTCTTTCCAGTTCTCATAAACATTTCCAAAGGAAGTATTTCAATAAATATATACTATGTCACTTTTTGAGCTTGTCTTTAGAAATACATATTCAAGTATAATCGTGTCTTAGATTAAATATATTTCAGTGTTATTTTTTAACCAAATTATTTAGGTGGGCTCTCTCTGTATATTAGTCATATGTTTAACTAGCAAACTTGCTCGGAATAAGTTTTAGAGAAATAATTTGGGATACTGGGAAATGTTTATTTGAGTTGCACAAAAATATAAAATATTTTCATTCTAAAAGTGTTACATAAAGTGTGTTGTTCACCTTTTTTATTGAGGACTACATTTACTGTATACTCTAGCTAAATGAAGGTTGAATGGTTTAGTCTGCGTGTATTGTTCCATGAAGAGAGGATCAGTACTTTTAGCATAAACTTCAAAGCTACCCTTCTTTTTCCAAACAAGCTGATTTTTTGCAGTTAATTTGCTAAAATGTAGTGACATCTAAGTTATTGCTCCTTGTAGGAAGTCTTATTCATACAAGTTATTTTATACTGCTTTATATTAGTAACTGATTTATATTAGTAATTAAATATTGAAAAGAATGGAGAAAATGTATCAAAATGAATAGAGATTGAAAAAAACTTTGTTTTCACATAACATTAAACAATTTCTTTCATTTCAAAGGCAAGCGCATACATAACCACAAACAATTTTTATAGTCTAATAAGTATCTTAATCTTTTTCTTCTAGGGGATGTCCGTCTAACTCCAGAGGACTTTGCTAGAGCTCAGAAATACTGCAAATATGCTGGCAGTGCTTTGCAGTATGAAGACGTAAGCACAGCCGTACAGAATCTACAGAAGGCCCTCAAATTACTGACAACAGGCAGAGAATGAAGCCTTTGTACAAGAGATTCGTGTATTTTTGGCATAAGGAACTAACAGTCCATTACTCTATCATCAGCCTATCAGGAGCACAGTTTTAAGGGGGACTTCAGTTCCATTGAATGTGACAATGAAATCTGTGTCTGTCTGATTCCTACCGAAGCGTTCAGCAGCAGCCTCAGCCAGTTTTCATTGTCCACTTAGTGGATCCCACAATCTGAGTAAATAGGGCTCATGTTAGCAAGATCCTTAAAAGTGTCAGTTGAACCCTGCTTCAAAAATGAAAACAAACCCCTGTGAAATTACATTGGGAATAAGCTTTTTAATTCAGGTACGTTGAGGAATTTTCTAGAAGTCTGTAATATGTGGAAAACCACGTTACTTTGCTATAAAATTCTAAATTTAACTTGTAATAAAGATGGCCATAATATTCTAGAGATCATGTTTTTATTTTCCTCAACATTGACAAAATAAGTATGAACATCTGAAAATGATAGATGAATACAAAAGACATTATGTCAAAACCCTTAATTTATATTCATACTAGATATAACTACTTTAAAAATTTAAAACTTTATGAAAGAAACTAAAATTGGGGTCAAGTGGTAGAGTCACATTTAGACTCAAGCAGAACATGGATTTCTTACTGATTCCCCTTACCCACTGAAGCTTGAGGTAAATTGGCATTTGCTTCATTGGCAGTCTGACTGCGTGTGTTAGAAAATGAAAAATCATTTGTAGTAATGTCTGGGAACTTGGTGCTTTAAGTTAAGGTTTTCCTTAGCTGCTGTGGAATGGATTCCACAGAGTACATAGATGGAATGATACAGAAGATTATAGGACTTAAGATTCTCAGTCGTTAAGTTTTTAAGTTTTGTGGGAAATTATGAACTTAATGTATCACCTGCGTTTGTGCTGTATAGAAAATAAATACAAGGATTCTTTTAACTAGTTCACTTATTATAAAGCCAAATATTTGTTTTGATTTGCATGGTAGAATTGTCCTTTTTAAATGTGTTTATATTTAGTTATAGGAGTACAGATGTTTCTATAGTAGCAAACAGTTTTTTAAATTGAGTCTGACAAATTTACCTGAAGTTTATGTGCACCCTTTCATTTATTCCACTTGGATTGGAATCCTTTTAGGTGTCAGCAAGTTGTGGCCCATGGCTGTTCACCTGTAGTATAAGGATTTATTGGAATGAAACCATGCACATTCATTTATGTTTTATCTTGGTCACTTTGCACAGCTGTATAGTTGTGTGGCTTGTGAGTCTAAAATATTTACTATCTTGCCCTTCAAGAAGTATACTGATACCTATTCTAATTGCCTGGTTGAAAGAAAATGAATCACTAACTCATATCCACTTGTATTAATTATTTGCATAAATATGATGCTATTGTGCAAGGTTTGATAGAGTGCATAGATGGAATGAGCAATTCTAAATTATAAAAAAAAAAGCCCCAAAAAGCATGCCTCCTAAAAACTATTCTCCAATCTTTCACAAAATATATAAACAGTTAAAACATTCAGCACTGGGAACCCTGTGCTGTTACAGCTCTGAAGAACATAGTCCTAGTTGAAAACTGGCTAGGACCATCTTTTTAAAAGGGTTAAACAGTTTCACAAATTTTATTACAAACCTTAATATATCTGTGCACTAAAACTGTTACCTCCTATTTCACACCCTTCCTATTGGCTCCCTGGCACATTGAGAAGGCACATGGAGGGAGGGAACAGTGTGGTAACCAGGAGAGCCACTAACTAGTGGGCTACATGAGGTAACAGAGTCCTTTTCCATAAAACACAAGTGACACCACTAGTCACCTCAGTGTTTGTTAGGAAATTAAATGACATACCATACACGAAGTGCTTAGCACATGGTAACATTACATCTACAACTGTTTATTATTGTTTAATGCTTTAATAATTAATGTGAATTGTTAGTGATTATTTACCAAAATACCAGGAAACCCCATTGTCTTTGTGGCCCAATGCTTAAAAATGCTTTCTTGCATGAGGGAACTAAACTATATAATAATTTCTAACTTTGTACTTGTATTTCTTCATATAAAATCCAAGTATAAAATTAGGGTACACTTTCTGATGTAACACTAGGATAAGCCATTTTCATTTCTTCATTCAGCTTCTGTTCATTGAGCAGCTACTGTGTGTCTGGTACTGTTCTTTGCAAGAAGTAGTAGAAAAGAAAAAACCTCTGCCTCATTGAGTTTGCATTCTAATGGAGAAGAAATGGACATATTAAATAAAAGTATATCACATGTATTTGACCAGTGGTTCTCAAAAGATGATTGTGAGGAGTGCAGTTCTCGGGCCCTAACCCAGTCCTCCTCAGTCGGAAACTCTGGGAACAGTACCCAGGTTTTTGATCCCTGAAGTTTGAGTGGGATAAGCCTTACCCAAGTCAAAGAGATTGAGAGGCTGGGAGGAGAGGTTACCCTCCCTGAAGCAGTGGTTCCCAAAGATGCCCCTGAACCACTACCATCAACATCCGAACCTGTGAAGAGTTCTAGGGGCCACACTTAGGGAACTTCTGTATTAAAGAATGACAAACACGGAGAAAACCAGAGCTCAGAGTAGGAGATTCTTAGGTGTCTGTAGAAAGGTACATATTTAAATAGGATAGGCAGGGTAGTGAAAAGGCACAGCATAGCTGTGTTGGTGCATGGAGAAAGCAAATCCTGGCAAAGGGAGGTAGAAATAAGTGTGAGTGGGACAAAGGCAGGTCGGGGAGCTAAAGACCTATGACAATACAAGCTTTTTGTAAAGGGCTTTGACTTGAATAAGAGCTACAAAAAAACAGGAATAGTCTGATAGGACATCTAAAGGAATCACACTGACTTTTATGGTAGGTCGTGATGGAGGGCAAGGATGGGAGCTGGAGAGCCAGTTAAGAATATTAGAATAATTAGGATAAGAAGTGATAGACTGCTAGTAGCCATGGAGGGCATGAGATGTGATTGGCTTCTGACTTTTTCTTTTTTTGGTAAAGTCCGAGGATTTCTGTAGATGAGACGAAGTGTGGACATAGGAATGGAGATTGACCTCCCTGTTTTTAGCCTGAAAGCCTGGAAGGAAAGAGTAGTCATTAATCCTAGGTGGGAAAATTGCCCAATTCTTGTGACCATCCAAAGTAAAACTGATTGCAGGATTTTGTCAGTGTGACAAGGGGAAGAAAAAATAAGATAAATTTCTTTTTCCATCGTTGTCAGAGGTATCTCACCAAGTCATGCTGGAGGGAGAAGCAGGAATTATTCCCATGGTTATCACGTACATGTAGGTTTACAAACATCTAGATCACATAAAAAAATCAATCTTTCATTTACAGGCTTTGAGAATTAATATCCTCAGGTGCTAATAGAATTTATATACAACTGGTACTTCTAGAAATGTGAGACTTTTGTATATACACTATGTTTATATGTTACCCTTCCTTAAAGAAACTTATACTGTAACAGCAGCATGAAGCAAAAACTTATATAGGTTGAACATGGCTAATCCTAAAACTCAAAATGGCTAAAAATCCAAAAATTGTCAGTAAATTCAAAATAATTAGAAGAATTTTGAGCATCACCATAACACTCAAAAAGTTTGAATTTCGGAGCATTTCAGACTTTGGATTTTCAGATTAAGACAATAATTCTGAAATCTAAAACATGTCTGAAATGTGAAACAATTCTGGTCCCTAGCATTTTTTTAAAATTCTCAGCTTTTACTCAACAATTATAAGGGGAAATAAATTTTAATTATTATCTCAATACTATTGATATTTGGTAAAACATCAAACATGAGTAATACTAGACTCATACGGTCTTTAGGACTGAATAAAACCAGCCATCATTTTTTGTTTTGTTTATGCAATTCCTTTTTTCATTTTGAGATGACTCCTATGTAGGATGGCATGAAATGATCTACTGAGCTTGTTTTCGTGGATTGGAGATTTTACTTTTTTATAAAGATGCAAATAACGTTAATAACATGAATTCAAAGGTAAATACAATGTTTGATTGATGAACGATGATGTAAATACTGATTTGAGTATGATACTGATCCTTTTTCAATACTGTTAAGATACAGTTTGTAAATATTCCTTGACCCTTAAAGTAAAAACCTTCCAAACCATCAGCCTTGAAAAAAAAAATTGTTGTAGGTCACTACAGCAAAGGCTTTCAAACTAATTCATTCATTTTGGTACCATTTACAAGAAAAATTTCAGCATTGCAGGTAGAATAGCACAGATCTTGCTAAATATGTTTACAAATGTGTACAAAATGATATATATCAGAATACATATGTATGTATGTATCAGACATCCTTTTGAAAATAACTGAAATCATACAGGACAAAGAACAAAGAATTTACATTCTATCCTGATCTCATCTGGTAAAGATTAATATATATAAATATATGTATGGATGTATTTATTTTCCCTGCCATACTGGGTAGTCTCCCCAAAATGAAGCAAAGAAGATCAGGACATTTCTAGTAACCTTTGATTTGTGAAGTTGAGACAGCACTCAGACCAGTTCAACAAGCTTTGTTTAAGAAGCCAGGAAATGCAGAGCCCTGGTATTTAATGTGAGGACACAAAGTTTCAGTATAGGTCTTTGCTACTTAGCTTTAAATCTATTTAGATGCATAAATGTGCACAACTAAACAACTGAAGGCATTGTGTAGGTGCCATAAAGAAAATACGAATACATTTCTAGTGAAAAAATAAACTTATTTTACCCAAAACTAGGACCTGCAGCGGGACATTTTATTGGGATTTTGACATTTGATTTGTATCTTGAGAATGAGCAGGAATCCAATAAAGTGACATGGGCAGTTAGCATGAAAGGGGAGCATAAAAGGGGAAGCAGAGTCATAGGAAAGCACATACCTTTTTCAATTGCAGCACACTAGCCATTTAATCCTAAGGCAGATCTGCCTAACACAGCAAGTATAGTAATTGTCATATTGAGCTATATAGGCAGCGATCTCAAAATTCTCTCTCTCTCTCTCTCTCTCTCTCTCTCTCTCTACACTTTCATATGAAATACACTTCGTGAAGTGTGAAATAAAAATTTCAGTTAAGATCATGATTAAGATTTACCATCAGATCCTTATTATTTGGTAGCACCAATTGTTTGTTTTTTTTTATTTTAAAGTTCAACCTATCACCTTATCGTCGTCCAATCAAGCTACCACATCAAACATCAAAGTATAGTACACATTTATAAACAATAAAATTGTATTATGGTTCTCGAGGCTGGGTGCTTAAGATGAAAGTGTCACAAATTCAGTGTCTGGTTAAGGCCCATTCCCCACTCTGTTAGGACACTAGTCCTAATCACCCCCTAGAAGGCCTGCCTCTTAATACTATTGCATGAGCTATGCATTTGCAATATCTAACTTTTGGAGACACATAGTCATTCAGACCATGACCTGCCTGTAGTGGATTTTCTATACATCATAGCTGTTAAGTCTACTACATCTATTAATATGAATACTGAACATTTAAAAATGGGAAAATATATTAGTGACGAGAAGCAAAAAACAAAAAGTGGAATGGATAAATTCAACTCTACTTCCCTTCTTGTACTTTGTATTTCATCCTAAAGCTGAACATGTGGCTCTAAAGCTGAGCCTGAGCGTCCCAACTTTATATAAACTCCTGTCCTACTGGTCTTCATAAACTCTGTCCTGTGTTTTATATCACCCAGGTACTGCAGTAAAGATTAGATTAGTAACAGAAGAGAAGTGAGTATTTGGTTTCACTATAGGGAGTTGTTTCACCGTTGTGTTTTCTTAAACCCCGTCTTGAGTTGCACTTGTATGTTCAGGGTCTGACAGGCCAGAGTGAGGTGGCAGAATGAGATGAAAAGCAAGTTAAGGGTGAAATATCTAAGATGAAAGTAATTCAGTGTCAACAACATCCAGAGAATGTCACCAAGTCCTGCTCAGTCATTTGTCCTTACTGTTGCCATGACCTATGTTCACAGTGCTTCGACTGAGTCATCAATATGTGACAGTTCTTGTGAGAGTTGAAAAGCTCACGACGTGCTTTCCTTAAAAGCCTCCCAAGCACCTTGCCCCCAAACCCACCCCCGTATTTTCTGACCAGGATGAAGATAGCCCATCTCCTCAAACAAAGCATTTTGACAAAAAGGAAAGTACTGTATCTTAGAAGTGTGTTTTGATAGGAGCACAAGTTACCTTCTCAAGATGTTTTAGTGTCTGTACTTTAATTCTTAAACTATTTTGAGAAGTTGAATTATCCTGGAAACCTGAAATCACTCCTGGTGAAATTTTAAAAACTTTTATCAACAGTGGGGAAGGTGACCTAAACTCTGATTCACAAACTCTCAAAGATGGAGAGGCCTTAGAGATTATCTAAACCAAGTTTCCATTTTACACGGAACTGAGACCCAGGAGGGGTACAGCTTTTGCTTATGTCCACACAGCTCATCAGTAGAAAAATAGAATAGGAAACACCTCTGACTTTTAGACCAAGGATTTGTTTTCTGTGTTTCATTCTGAAAACTATCAGAAGACATTCAACTAACCAAGCACATTTTGGAAATTTGCCACAGTTGCCAAACTATAGAAGTCTGCTATTTATCTTTAATTGGTTAGCTACTTCACAAATATTCACTAAATAATTATTACCCTAAAATGTCCTCAAAAACCACAAATTTAAAAAGATACTTTCAACCTCATTAGGACAGTAAGAAACCTATACATGAAAAGATATTCATCAAAGCAATGTATGCTAAAATGCCAAATTAATAAGAAAAGAACAAAGCTTTGCATACCATTTTGTCATTAGTAAAATCACCAAGAAGGCTTTGTGAAGAAAGCAAGGGTTGAAGACACTTGGATTTTCTGGCATTACGGAAACTCATTTACCTGTTATCCAAGAAAATGTACATACCACCAATAAAATATTCTGTATTCTTGCCATTGTCAGGGCAACACCAGTGTTTAATTTCTTAGGGCAGAAGTTCTTAATCTGAAAAAAAAATCTCTGATATTGAATAGGGGAAAAAAATACATTTTTTTTTAATTCTCTAGCTGAAATTGCCTTTTCTATAATGAATTTAAACCATAAAAACCACGGTAATACTGGCAATTTCTGTGACTTTCATCAACAGAAGCTATAGATATTTCCATACCCTATAAACCCATTGTGGTTGTTACTGATTTGAAAAATCATTTATACCCATTACTATTTTGAATTTAAAAATATTAATAGACCTGCATTTTAGTGAACCAATAAAGACATGTTATTGTGTTGTAATTTGATTTTTAATATATTTTTATTTCCTCATATTTTACCTTTAAAAATTTTACTAATACATGTTTGTAGTACATAATAATTACATCCATCTTGGGGAATTGGTATGTGTACATAACACATCCTAATTCTTATAACTTCCCCTCTTCCTCCTCCCCTTCCTCCATTCTGGGTCCCCTTTCCATTTGCTGAAGATCTGTCTCCCCCTATATTATTTTATGCATAACTATATTAAGTAGAAATAATAGCCGCTACAGATACCCACCTGTGAATATGCTATCTTACAAGTGACACAAGGAAAGGGACTTTGCTAGGCAAGCACTGAACTAAAGCCCCAGCCTGCAACTTTGCCAATGTGATTAAGGTTAAAGAACCCGAAGTGAGGAGAGAATCCTGAATTATACAGTGGGCTCGATCTAATCACACGTGCTCCCTAAAAGCAGAATCGTTTTCTTAGCTGTTGAAAGAAAGGGGCCTGTGAACAGGACTAACCTACTTGAGCAGGCGTTGAAGGTGGAAAAAGAGAAAACGGGAATGTGGACGGCCACCAGAAAATGGGAAAGGCGAAGAACCAGCTCTACGCGTGGATCTTACGGAAAAGAATACAGCTTGTATCACTTTAATTTTAGCCCACTGAGACCTCTGTGAGACTTCTGACTTCCAGAACCATCAGATAATAAATTTTTGTTGTGTAATTGACTAATTGTGATAACTTGTTATAACAGCAGTGGAAAACCAGTACATGAATTCATTTCATTTTATGCATTTAAAAATATTACTCTGAGGAACTTGACCGGACAAAGGTGTCCAGGCACAAAAATTATTTAAAACTTCTGTGCAGTGGTGTCCTCAGCCACATTTGTTAGAAGGAAATCCTTACATATTTGACAATGAGTAGTGTCAGTGTGCAGTGGGACCTAAGTGGAAGAGCTACATTTTTTTTTCATAGTCACCCAAACATTTTAGTCAAGATTTTGGTAGTAAAAGCATAAGTATAATTCCCACTCAAATTGGCCTTTCCCTCTACTTTGCCAACAATTCTTATTTTTTCTG